TCTCTGGCATTTATTTCAAACATATGTAGACTTCCGCTGAAATATGCATCCAGATCCCGCTTCTTCAAAGCTTTTATAGTAAGTAGTCTTTTTAGTCTAGATAAAAACTGCACTTTTACATTCTGAACATATTTTATAAATAATGAAGTTGCAGGAAATGACAAAGGAGCTCCATTCATAATGCTCCTTTTGTTAATGAAAAGGATTTTCACCTCTTTCAAGAAAAGTAATAATCAGAAAAAACTACAAACAAGGCATGCACTTTGTTTTACTAAGGGTACCTCAATAATAGAAAAATAATTTAACCTACTGAAAAATATTCTTGCTGTCAAAGCACCTGTTGTTTTTCTAATAATAAAATATAGTAAAAAACAATACTGTGCAGAATGTTTTACAACTATGAACCAGAACTAGGATGATAATAACATATAAATTGCTATATTACATTAATGCACCCAAGTATTAATACCATAAATGTGTTTATTTAAAACATATCTGAATAAATTAAAGGAAGATTATTAAAAGAATCACATTAATGGACAGAATGGCAACATTGCAAGAAGCTGGGGCTGTTGTTATAGTTAACACAGCTTAATAGTAAAGACTTCATTTTTTTTTAGCAAATTTCTTGAAGGTTTGTCTTTGGTTCTTTAAGAGTAAACGTAAACATGTTCAAACCATATACTGCAAAACACAGTGCAATGTAAAATACAAACTGACTTCATTTGCAAAGAGCAGAAAGATCCAAGTACCTGCAAGATATATTTAAATTGGACACACATACAAGTCAAATTAATACTAAAGGAGTGTAGACATTAGCTTTACTAGAAAATGCTTTCCAATGTATCAGTAGAAGAGAACAGTGGCACTTTAAAAACTGGCTATGGAATCAGTTTGTATGTACTATGTTTATCAAATGCTTAAACTGCTATCAAGAAATTTATGTAGAGTAGGTATAGTACAAAAGTTAAGGTAGCATACTATTTTGGATGTTTCCTGACGAAGTTTTCATGTGGCATAATCTTCTCAACCATAAAATGCTATGGAACATGTAAGATTTTTTTGTCACTTAT